ATCTCTTCGAGTTTCAGGGGGTCGGGTCCCTCCTTCAGGGTCTTCGTCGACTCTATCAGATCATTAGCCACCTTCCTTACATTCTGAATGTCAGCTTTTCCTTGCTGGACCAATTTCACGGTATCTAAAAGTTCATTGATCTTACTTCTCTGATTTTCATCCCCCACCTTCACCTCGTGAGGCTTGAACACATGGTACATAGACGTCTCCGTCGATTCCATGTCTTCAACCACTTTCTGAGGATTCCTCATTTTCTTCTGACTACTCGAAATCAAGCCCATGTTCTCCAGAACGTTTCTCATGCTATCAGGCACAGCTTCGATCAGAGATGGAGGTTTAGTCACAGACTCCATCGACTTTTGTCTTCTGTTCTCGACACCCAGGCCAAACTTGGCCAGGAACTCCTTCATCTCCTGATCCTTCACGCTGGACGTAGGCAGAGGCTTGAAATTCGTGTAAGAATTCGAATTAACAGCGATCCTCTGGGTAGTAGTAATGCTAGGTTGGTCCAGATTCGACGTCTGAAGACCGAACCTCTGGAACAACAACCGCACCTCCGGCGTTAAGTTCTCCATCCCCTTTTTAATCACAGACCCTGAACTTTCGAAGGTATTCTGATCGAGGATCGACGGAGTGTCCGATCCGACCGGACTCAGACCTGAAATCGTCGTCTGGACGATGTTGTTCAACTCAGGATTCCTCTCCAGCATGTCCTTGTTCTTTTTATAAATATCCTCCACGTTGCTATTGTTATCCGGCCTGAGACCGATCGATTCCAACAGGTCCATCACCTCCGGCCTCATAGACGTCGAACTAGTCGTAGCTGTGCGAAATCCTGCAGAGTTCAACGAGTAGGTGGAGCTGTACTTCACCTTTGGGGATGTTTCCGTTGACATGGGTGTCACGTAAAGGGTGGTCGGCCCTTCGGTCCTCATAATCAAAGGCTCTGCTGTGCTTCGGTCGTTTGGAAGAATCTCTGATCTCTTAGTAGAGGACACGATTGGCTCTTCAGGCTCCGCGTTCACGGTCGGAAGAAATGGAAGCTTCTCGACGTTGGAAGGCAAAGTTGGCTCCAAGGTACTCGGGGGTGCGTTGTAACGCCATTGGCTGGAGGTCAATACGTTCTGAGTAGCCTTCGATCGATCCAGATCGACGATGATCTCTTTGGGAACTGATTTCGTAAAGGGTTCTTCAGTGACACTGGTGCTGTACACAACTTCTATACCTGATTTCTTCTCTCCGTTGCCTCTGTACACTGGATACCTCATCGTCGTTGTCTTCTCTGTGGTATAGGAATTTTTCTGAAGGTTCTCCAGGTTGAAGGAGAACCTGACAGGTGTAGACTCCAGTTTCAGAGTATCCTTTAAAGGAAGTTTATCTTGCACCTCGGAATAAGTATCTCTATGATTTTTGTATTTATTCTTTGTCGTTGTAGACTGAATGTCCTTCGTTGTTGGTTTATAGAAATTTTCAGTTGATACAAGGTTCTCCATAACTGAAGGCTCGGAAGTTTCGAAATTCTTCACTTCATTGTCTTCGATGTTATTCGTTGATTTCAAGTGATCAGGTATGATTTGAGTCATCGGTGGCTTCGTGTACAAATCGTTCAAATTTCCTGGGGATTCTTCAGCGTTGTAGGGAAGAACGACCATCAGTGCCCTTTGGTACAACCTCCTCGCCTTTTCTAGTTTTTCCTTGTCCTTGTACGCGTTCAGGTCTTGCGACGTGATGTTTTGAAGGATGCCGACTATTTCTTGCCTGGTTAAACGGGGCAGCTTCGGGTTCTCGCGAACCTGTCGTTCGACTTCCTCGATCGTACGGTTGATCGAACTCTCGATCTCGTATCCCGATGGAAGATCATTGTCCTGGCAGTGACCTAGGGCAAGCAGCAGCAGCAGACAGAAAACCGCAAGCTGCGCAAACAATTATTGTACAAATTGAATTTCTTCGGTTGAACAACCCTTGCAATTTAATTATTAATCTGTGATCGAAACTGTGGAATTGATTCTGAATTATCGAAACACGTTTTATACTTGTAATAATCATACAAGTTTGACCTACATTCGGTTCCATGCACGTCACTCGCTCTTCGCCTATCACCTTCCAGTAAAAAATAAGATCATCTCTAGAATCATCAATTATTAATTTAGGACGAGACGCTGTAGAGGTGTTTTTTCAACAATGTTAGCTTTTATCATTGAGATTTTTCTTTTGAATATCTAGGAAAGATTGTAATCAGCATAGTAACGTGTCTCTTTCATATTCATAAAGGAACTCTTGCAAAATATCCTTGACTAAACCGAACGTTTGAGAAAGTCTATCTGTTCACCTATTTTTAAGTAGAAAATCTAAAAATGTATGATTGGAGTGTTCTTTTAAAAAGAAAAACTAGCTATAATCCACTGTACGGCACTGGACTTCTTTTTTGCCCTCCTTTTAGGTTAAAAATGACCCATTTCTGGAGTATTGAATAGAAAACACGAATGCAATTACACGATAACATAATCACGTCTTCCTGTCACGCTTATTACACCACGGTGTAATAATCGAAAAAAGATATTACAACGCCTTGTCTGATATGAAATAATCAGGTGGTCTGCTATGAACCTCTTTTTAAAATATTCATTTTCGTGTTCTATCATTTCCTGTTCGTTTAAAATAACTTTCTACCCGATACCATTTTCAGAGTTATGCTCTCGTTTCTGGAATAACCATTATTTTCCGGTTGGATTAAAACGGAATTAGATAGACGAAGGTGTATCGTGACCGAGGACTTCGTTTTCCTCGATTAAACTTGGAGGAAAACAGGAAGAATGTCTCATCAAGAATCGAAGTTTATGATCGTTTCGTGTAACTGAAGATGGTGTTACGTTGGTCGTTACATTAAATAGCGAAATTAGACACGCTGAATGATTCTCGAAAACGAAAGTGACTCTCGACTTCGAACACTTGATCTTAATGCATTTACTCCGAGTTCAGTGATTCTGTAATCTATACTTGCAACATCTTTCGAAATTCGTAAATTTTGACCAATTTTTCGAACACCAGAACTGGTTTCTAGAAAGCTGAGATTTTATGAAATAGATTTCACATTCATTCTTTTGGATGAACTAAAACATTATAAAATCACACTACGATATCCGAATTTCCTGCACTAATTTTCTGTGAAGCATTTCAAGCTTTGCAGAATTCCGTAAAAAATTAATCAGCAATTAAAATTCATTTACGACCATTAAGAACCGAATCCTTACTGCTTTCAAGCCCACAGAACCATGAACACTTGCAATTTTCCTGTTCCATTAAAAAAACAATCTCACTGAATCTTATAACACATAATGTCTCATTTAATCAGCGAAACACTTCAACTTCCCGCCTCATTAATTTTTTGTGTTAGTATATTTCAATGGCAGAAAGGCAAAAATGAATTTTAATTGCTTTTCATTTAAGTAATTGCTGTTTGGAAGAAATTTCGGGAACAGTGACACGAGAAGCACTGAGAAACTTACCATTATGACAACCAATCGTCTGAGAACGCAGTTGACTACTGACTGAACACTGACTAAAGGCCTACTTTCGAACTCTCTCTCTATCTCACCCGTTTATTTCACCTCGACCGTCCTCGTGCACACAGCTCGGTTCATCTGTTCACCTGGTTGGTGCAGGTGAACCCATAGCTTGTCATTTCCCGTAACTTTTTCGACCCCCTCGACACAGCATCCAGTAATGCACACGCATTCGTCACGTCGCTGATACGAAATAGAAAGGTGGATTGTTGTTTCAAGTTCAAGGAGAAAGAAAGTAGCCAACGAAACCGGTTGCTTGTTCATCGATTCGTGATTAATGAATGACGTGTCTTGTTGACGGTGATTATTTCTATTTAACTATGAACAAAATTTTTAGTTTAAAAAAAAATTAAGGCTTCAATGGGTTTCTGAATACTTAAATAAAAATATTAAGCATTACCATTTTATTTTATTTAGAAATAATTGAAGACTTTGTATTATTGTTAAATAATTGAATTACTAAATTTGAAAATTTCATTTAAAGTCTTTTACTGTGTTTTTAAATTTATATCGACGCGCAATTTAAAAATTGTATCACTCCTGCCATCTAGTAATGAGCGGGAAAATTAACCAAGCAGAAAATTACATTTTTTTTTTAAATGAACGATTTTTAAACCTTGCTAGTGGAGGCAATGTATGCTATAAATAAACTAGAATAAAGATAATGCCCTCGTAATTTATTAAAAGCGTTTAAATTGAAAATTGAAAAATGTACTGGAATGAGTTGCGGCAAAATTAGTTCTAAGGCACTACCGATAGATGGCTATAGCACTTGAGTGTCAGTTGAGCGCAATTTTTTCTTATTTTCAATTTAAACACTTTAGGTAAACTGTGGTGAAATTACATATGTTACATTATGTCCATAGAATGATTTGCAAGCATAATCGAAGTCCAAAAGTCGCTTATTTTTTCAAAAAACGTAATATTCTGTTTGGCTAATTTTCCCGCTTAGCGTTAGATGCCACCAGCAGTACCGTTTTCAAATAGCACATAAATACAAAATTAAAGAACGTATAAAAAAGCCTAATACAACAGTTATCCAGCTTATTAAATTAATTACTTAATAATAATACAATTTTCTCTCTTAACGCTATGCAAATTAAGTTTCTTATACCATTTCAAATAATTAAAAATCAACATTCTATTAATTATAAATCATTTAATTCTAAAGAACAAATAAAATTGAATCAAATACCTTGAACACAACAATTTCTTCGCAGCAGTTAAACATGGTTATCTGGCTGTATTTATAACTGTTGGCTCGCAGCAACGAACATTGCAGAGAGATTATCTAAAATAGAAAAATGAATTAGACAATAGTTGTGTCATAGCAAGGAAGTAGAGAAGAAAAAGAATCAAACTATAAGATACACAAACGTAATCGTGGCGCTATTGATTTGTCAGCCGATGGTTGCAATAACATCCAACGATGGTAAAAGTGGGGACTCACTCTCTCACTGTTAACCGGCTAAGGTGCTGTAGCCTTTCTGTTCGTTTTTAAAACACCGCCAGCTCGTTTCAGCCGTTGTCGAGGCTTGCAAGACGGAAATCAATCGTACATAGGGACTGTTTCGAAATTGCATCGCGAGGGACTACTGTAAGTTCCAGGATGGAGATCGAAATCGAGAATTTAGTGAATTCCTTTAGGAATCTTAGCTGCAACCATCGTTACGTGCCTTCGGCGACGGAACAGATAGAAAGTAAGTCTTGTAAATTTATAGTTAGGTAATTAAGAAATTCCATATAAATTACTTTCGACGTTCAATTTGTGCTACAAACATAACTTAATTATTGAGAATAAACAGAACATAAAATTTGGAGAATTATAAAATTTTTTCTGGAAGAAATTTTTTTAAATAAATCTTTACGCAGAATTTGGTGAAAGGGTCTGTCGTAACATCTTGTTACGTACCGAAGCTACCGTTACCACTATTAGAAAGTAAACTACGAAACATTCTAGAGTGCCATTTTCGTAACATTTTGCAACAGCACTCGGAGTAAAAATTTTTACGATTCTTCTTCCTTTCGTGTAGAGATAAATTTATACCATATTTTATAAATATTATAGCTCGTACATTAATAAGAATATTATATTTGACAAGTGCCTTTGTTTTAATCGAGTTAGCGTCAAAGCTTTCACGTGCGCCGATCTACGACGCATGCTCAGAACCGGGCAGCTCGGTGAAAGTCTCGTTCGAAGTTCGTAACAACTATAATCGTTACGTGTATACACATAAAATCCATGAAACTTCCTCGAAAGCAATTAGCCGGGGAATAATAATCGTGCCCAGGCGAATAATTTCACGTGAAGGGAAGAGGAACAATTATTTCAGCCTCGTTTCATAAAATGTGTTCACCTTACCAAAGTATACGGAAAGAATGTTAAATAACGCGCGTTACCGAAGGAAAGAACGAAACCGTGGTTTTTAACGTTAAACGAGAATTCCTGCGAGCCCCGTATGAACGGGCGGCAATCGAAACTGGTTCCGTATTTAACATCGGGGATGGCTCTGAATGCGGCACCGAGGGTTTTCACCGTACCGAGGAAATAAAACGTGTCGTTAACATAGAATAAATGAATATAATCGTGCAACCCAGCGATCGATTTAATTCGCCGAATTAAATTGATCCTCGTTTTTTCGGCAACACGCTCGGTGGAAATGTAACGACACGAGCAAATCGTCCGCGTAAATTGGCCGGTATCAAAGGGAAATTTCCATAGGGTCCGTTTTTGTTTCTCGTTCTTTCGGATATCGTCCTCGAGCCAAGTTGTACAAGGTAATCCTCTTTTGCAACGAGCTGCGCGATTGCGATACGGAGAGAATGCAACTGCATCGAATGCGCGGATGCATAATATTGTCGGATGATTCGAGCCGAAATCTAAAATAAATATTAGCTCCGGTCATTCACCTTTCATCTTAATTCAATAACAATGACCGTAGCTTCCGCGAAGATATCGTTATGTAATGAGTGTATTGATCCAATTGATAACAGTTGCAATCGTTATCAGACTTCGAGCAAACTGCACTGGAAAAATATTTTCCAAGCAATTTTTGCAGACATTGTAGATAATTTATTCCTTCGCGATTCTTCGTTTACAGTCGTATATTTTTAACAATTATTTATCCCTCGGCTTTGCTGTTTCTAAAATTTTAGTTGCAATTTTTATTCTATTCTCTCTTAGGTTTGGGAGCATTTGGCATAGGATTGGTAAGTTTCGGAGCGGTGCTTTCAACCCTGACACTCTACTTCGCAGTGGACGCCTGCTACAATGTTATTCAACAAAAGGAGGCGAGATTTTACAAAACCAACGCCATTATGATCCTTCTGGTATACCCGGTCGCCAGTGTCTGCAGTTTAACAGCGATTGGAATACCAAGGTAAAAGGCAAAATTTATTTGAAAATATCCTGAGGGACATGGTGAAAAATTGACTGAGGACCTTTAACAAGGGCTAAGAGTCCTTTGTCCAGATTTTCTGTGAAATAAACCAGAAAATCCACTTAAGAGACACGGGAAAAGGAGCGGAAACGCGATCGAATGTCCTGCGAGAAGCAGAGGACAGACCTTTGAGACACTTTTTAACGATGAAACGAATAAAGGGTCTCGGTCCTGTGCGACTAATGATTTTGATTTTCCGAGATAACGCTGTCCTGCTGACCGTGTCGCACCTGAGCCGTCGATGTCGAAAATTTGATGGGTTCTTTTGATAGCAAACAGGGCGACACGAAAATTCCATTGATATTTCCCTGTCTCCAGCATTCGTTATGAAAAGATATCCAAGTCCTTCTTTATTTTCCTATCGAGAAGGCTCGAATTTTAGTTTAAAGGTTCGATGGTTAATTCATTATCGCACTGACGCTCTTTAAATGATTTCCAGGACCCAGTTGCTATCGGAAGCCCTGACTCAAATTTTCCTCACGATAGCCCTGTACAGGCTTTATCTGCTGCTCGTCTACGTCGGCTTCAAAATCGTCACGAATTCACCGCCGTTGATGCTGAAAGTCGGCCCTTGTTGCTGCTGGCCCTGTCTGCCCTTTCCAAATCTTCAAATGACTGACACCAATTTGTCCTGGCTGCGGTTGGTAGTCCTGCAACTTCCTATTATCCAGGTTATTTCTTCTTCTCTGCCTTCACTTTTTTCGTATCCGACGCCTTTTTTCCGAGCCAACTATCGCCTTGCTACTGGTGATTTGAACGTATCTTTTCTTGGTATCGTTGAAGGTTCCTAGCAAACATAATGGTTTGATTGCGTTAGATAATCTTTTTTATAGCGTTTTACTTATTGCCTTTGTGATGGTATAAGATTTCTTTCTAATATGAGCAATTAAAATTTTAATGTCAAAGCGTTCGATTGATGCTTAACTTTGAATATTTTATCAATTTCCTTACATTTTGTTTTTAATTTTGAAGTTAATCGATTTGGCAAATAGGCGACTCGTATGATAATATAATAAATAATGAAAATCTTCCTATGTGTATTAATTTAAAAACTTTTTTATCGACTTTAGGGATTGATCTACTGCATATTCCTCTTCATGTCCATCGAGGAGCCAAGCCTGATAACCCAATACAGTGTCTGTTTCCAACCACTCACCGTAGCGAGTATACTTGTCGGAATATACGGGTTGACGATAACCATGAAGAGTCTTCACGAAGTCGCTCCAGGTAAAAATCATCCATGCGTAATTGAGAAGAAGGACCTCGCATAATCTCTTCTTCCTGTCTCTAACAAATTATTCGAACATGCAAGCGTGAAGTAGTTTTCAACACTGTTGCTCGGGGATGTCGAACTTGAAAAATCAAATTTGAACGTTCAATTTTCTCTCAACCGTGAGGGAAGCATGAAATTGAAGGCAGAATATAAGAGAGGAAACCCAGTCTACCGTAGCTGGCAATTATCCAAGGGAGGACCACACAAGTAACGCGCGACAGGAAGCGATTTCCGAGGTTCTGGAAAGACCCATTGTCCGTTGACCCATGGCGTTAATGGATATACACGGTGGGCCACACAACTGTTTCAGCTCATAACTCACTTATTAGCGCATTCACGAAAAAATGCCAGAGAAGAAAGACTAATTATTTTTATGCCATGCAACCCTTATACTTTTTTACGTAGGATCAACAGAGGAAAAAAAATGTATTTCCATTTTAAAAAATGTTACAATTGTTTGCAATTTAAAAAATCGAAGGTCATGCGTATGTAGCGCTCTTCGAACCATTCATCTTTCTCCCCTGACATTTTTTCGTGAATGCGCTAATAATTGAGTTATGACCTGAAACAGTTGCATGGCCCAGCCTGTATACGCTCCTGACCTGTGTTCATTTTCACAGAGGCAAAACTCCATCGAAACACCGCCGTTTCCCAGATGGTACTGCTGTTTTCCAAGCTGCAGGCGTTCATCGTTAAGAGTCTACCTCGGACCGGACTGTTCCCGTGCAATCCGCCAATTACACCGGAAATCTATGCCAATGGTAATATTTCGAAAGCTTCCTAAAACATATTTTCAAAAAATTGTATTCGAGCTGAAACACTTAGAGAGGTAATGTTACAATCTTACGTCACAGATTCCATAAAATATTCGACCATCAAAGGGTTAATGACAAGTCATTACGTTCGGGATACGAGATATTTGCATATAACCCTGTAATTATCTTTCAACGAACCTCCGAATAAATTGGAAGACAATCTTATAAAAAATTTTTGAATACGAATTTTAATGCCTTGGCTTTCGATCGAGGTAACAGTTTTCGTGTTCCACTTAAGATTCCAAGAAGTTGAGCTTACGAATACGAATTTGAATGTCCCAGTAAACTGGTTCGTGAACAGACCCGGCTCCCATAACATTTCCATACGCGAGATGAGATAAACGGACAAGCACTGTTACTTTCCTCTGTCCGATTTCAGTTACCCAAAACGCGCTGATGTTAATCGAGATGCTGTTGCTCTGCTACGCGGCCAGGTACGTTTATTACGTGGACGTGGACAAGGAGGAAGAGCCGAGCGAGGCGACAGATCGGTCGAAAGACAAGACTACGGAGCAAGTGAACCCGACGAATAACAACGAGGCTAACAAACAAATTTCAACGTTCACCGCGTGAGATCTACTCTCCATTTTCGACTACCCTAAAAGATATCATTTTTTTTTAAACAAATACTAGAGACCTAGTGAGCTACATTTCCTGAGCCATCGATCGCGCTTGTGTAGATACTTGTACCTATAAACATTAAGAAACATTGCAAAATTTTATTTTGCAACTTTAATATAGTGTTCACGAGTGAATGAGATGAATGAAGTGAGAATTAATTGAGAAACTTTTACTCGAAACGAGTACATTTTGATATGGTGCACCCTTTGAGGGTTTGTTAATGAATAAAGTGTTGTTAAGGATGTAATTATGCAATCTATAGATCCAATTAAAAAAAACCCTGTAATTTTTAAAGAAAATTGCAAGAAACTAAAATTAGTGGAGAAAATGGTACGAATATGAAATATGGGATATCAAGTATTATGATAAGTAAAATAAAAAAGTAACACCGTCTCCTGTTATAAAAAACTGAAAACGTAGAAGTTTCGTGAAGTTTATAATATTTGTATTTATAGAGCACATTCCGTATGAAATTCCCCAAATTTCTATAACTGGTTTTTCTACTTATGACCATTTTGACAAGGAATTCAAAAAATTATGAAACTTTGCGAATATGTTGGAGATTTTAAGAAGATAAAAACGGAATAGCAAACGAAAATTGCATTTTAATCCTTTATATTTACATTCCTTACATATTCACAAAATTTCATAATTTTTTAAATTTCCCCGTTTTGGATACAGAGAAATAAGATGAATATACCTCATATTCGTACCCTTTCCTCTAATCTTTGTTATAGAATATCAGGTAATAATATTTGATCGGACTTTCTTACCGCGCATCGAAGTCTCCGGCGCGGAAGGAACTGTCGGTGAAACTATGAGAGGGACCATACGTTGTCTCCATGGATTCGGCAGCAGTCAGAACGCATTATCGCGTGTCACGGCCGGCTGACAAATCACAGTGGATGCTCGTCCAAATGACTTGCAGGCTGCATGCTCTGACGAAACGTGAAGGGTACTCCAGAGTTATCCAAAAGGGCGATGAAGAGGTTGTACCGGCGATCTAAATGCGACTCCACGAAGAAGATCATTAGGAAAAGTGTGGGTCGTGTCTTCTTAACGAAACGCTCGCACGAAGACGCGTAATTATATATCGCTGTTGGAGGTTGTTCCTTTTTTTTCCCATTTAGTTTTTCAGAGACACAACGAAGAGGAAAGTAGGACGCCGAAGGATGATTCGACGATGAACGAGCTGTTCTCTCGAGCAAAAACAAACTATCGCTTTGTGAAGATTCAAATTCGTGGATACACGCAAACAGGTCTGTTTTTCAAAGTCTCGTTCTACTGTATCGGTAGAATTTCTGTTTATAGATAATGTATTGTTCCCAGCGTGGATATAGCCTACATAAGATGTTGACACACGTGCAGCTGGGAGGAAATTTCTCGTCAGGATGCAAAGGAGAACGGTAGCCGGGAAGACACGGTCGCGTTAAGTTAAAAAATCAACATTTAAGCGAAGGGTCGTGCATGCCGGGAGTTGTACGCTTAAAAAGCCCTTTACAGGGCCAATGAATTCTTCGACGCAGATGCCTCGATCCACGCTGTACACCCAACCCCGTCGAACTCGAATAGCCGCACGAGGTTGCATGACTTCACCTTTTCATGGCTGTCGGTAAAAATCGTCTCACGGTTCCAGGAATTCACCGAAAGATAAGATGCACACTGGAGCGGAACGGAATAAACTGTAACAAGTTAAAATTCAAAATTAACAGATAACTTTTAATAAATCTGCATAGTGTCGGAGTGAAATGTTTTTAAAAAGGATCGACCGGTTTCAAATTATGGAGGCAAAATAAAAGGACTTAAATGCGAGAGAAGTGGTGAGACAAAGTTTGAAATTCGAAGACGTCCTCGAGGTTGGGCCGACGACGTCCAGAAGAATTATCACCGACGAGCATCAGGAAGTGTCTCCTTACGTTCGAAAGGACGTGGCGATTTTTCTCGTTCCGTGTTTTCACGTTGGACGATCGATCGTCACCAGGGTGGCTTCCACTGCGCTGGTATCCTGCACAAAACGAAGGGAAGGATATTAATATTCCGATAACGTGTCCAGACGTATTAACCGTCTTTGTTTTGCTGACCCCGCCACGACCGAGATGAACGTTCGCCAGATAACAGAATTCCACGAAAACTTCCCTTCTGCTTTATTATTCCTCATCGTCCTCTGCCTCCCTTCTGCGGCTTCGCTTTGACCTTGCATCTATTACTATAAAACGTGCCCGGCTTTACGATACAGCTGAACCGCCTTTTTACTTGCTGAATCCTAATTATATCAATTCTTTTAAAAGGTAAAAATCTTTATGATATTTTGCCAATCAGAGGGTTTAATTTTTTTAATTAAAAAGCGCCTCTTAAGTGGATAACGCGATAATATCATGAAATTAATCTTTTTCGATCGGGCTTCGCTAAACAATTTATTTTCAATGGGTCCTTGGGTCAATAATACCAATAATACTGGAAGTTTAAATTGACAAATTATATGATCGTATTCTTAGTAATCATTATTATAATGGTGTATTATGCATGTGCAATTTTCACAGTGCCAGTCAACGTGTTAATAGGAATGAAGCTGCAATCCTGTTATGAGATCTTCAGAAAGTCCATGCGAGAGTCTGATTTAATTAAGATCGCCCGCGTTACTCGACGAACCGACACTCGAAACCTGTTTGCAGCTTTCTGCCTGTTGTGCACCCTTGGATCTCGATGACTGCTCGTTCACATTGTAGCTGACGATGGTGTCAATTAAGATTAACCTTATCTAAAGTGCATCGCTTTGAGTAGATTAAGTTGGATGTTTCATCGTGTCTCTGGTTTCTCTGTCGAATTGAAAACCCTTTACCACAGATCATGGGGAAAGAAAAAATCGGTCATTTAATTGGATCGTTGAAACGGAAATTTGCGAATTCGTTTCGTGTCAGCTCGAGCATAGAGCAAGAGGACATCGCAAAACGGTCCTGCGAGCACGATAGGACCTGGTATAGGTATTGCCTGGCCCTTCATTTTTTCAGCGATTTCAGGGCCCGTTGCCTACCTGCAACCTGGCCCAACGAGACTACAAAACCTTCTCTATCCCTTTCTCCAACCTCGCCTCCCTTTCCTTCCTCCGCTTGTAACCACCACGGCTCACCTTTCTTCCATTTCCTTTCATCGTAGACCTTTTGCCTTGGAACCGTGATCACGATCGAGCTTCGAACGCGTAATAGATTTAACAGTTTCTTTCGGGCCACGGCGGTTTCGGGGTCGGTTCAAGGGGTGAAAAATTCGTGAACCGTACGAAATCATCTTTAGGGTGTAGCTTACCCTTCACCATTGTTGCGTGTTTCGATATTTTATAAAATATTCCATTTTACTCCCCTTATTATCTTAATATCAACCAACAGAGTGTATTATTAAATTCGCATCATTGATGAATTCCACGTTGGTCTATGATTTTATAATGCTTCAGCAAAACGAAGATTTTTGTAAAAAAAACGTGAACAGACTCTATATAATAAGGTGAATTCTAAAGGTTACCTTGTTTTCGCATAAAACAAACGAATTACCCTTAAATTGGGGACACCGAGGATCAATTTGGGAATCACGGCGTCGTAATTCCCGAATAGTTGATTGGTAATCTTCGATGGAACTAATTAAGGCTGCCGACTCGTATCCAACGTCCAAATTGTTTTCTATGCCGGCCTTTTCCCTTCGGTCCCGACTAGATAGCCTTGGGGATTCTTTTTACCAGGGGAGGATGGCCAAAAAAAACTACGCGAAAAGATATTTCGCGAGCTAATGAGCCGGTTTAGCGACTCTTAACGTAATTATCTTTATGATTTAGAAGGAACGTTCACTCGTTATCCGAACATCTTCTGTAATTAATGATTCTTCGAAAAATTATTAATATTCCTATGTAACAAAGTATTCTTATCTTGAATCAATTATCAAAAGTTCGAGTTTTCTTTTAATTCATAGAAATAAAATAATTTTAGTCATCCATTGTTCATTCTGGGCGCCTAATTCGTTGAATAAACCAAGTCCCCCTAATTTCCCAAGAATAATTCCCAAGGGATCCGACAGGTCTAATTTAACTTATTATTGTGGGTCTAAGCAACAATACGGTATTGTTTGCCGAGGGTGTAAAGAAGTCCGAAGGAGAACCTGAGAATCATTAGAAAGAAGGGCCGTTTGTTTTCTTACCTCTGTCTAAGCCGACTTGTAGCGACCGTCAAGCACTAAAACTCCCATAAACACTTGCAGTAAAAAGGGCTACCCTTCGAATATAGAGATGAGTCCGTCGCGTCGAAAATTTGACGCTTTCTCCGGGTCGCCGCGCTGTGATCACTTTAATGACCCATAATCGCCGCTTCTAAGCCAAAAAAAATTGTCGCAAAGAAGCACTTGTTCGAAACAGCCTAGGGCTCTTCTCGCTTCCTGGCGGCTGAAAATATAAAAAAATAAAAAATAAAAAATTGTGGAGTTTAGTACTGGAGGAAGGACGTAACAATTATTTTGCTCCGGTCGATTCAGCTGCAGGAAATTCGACGTAGAAGATTTCCAGGTTCTCGAAGAGGACGCGTGGCCATCTGTGGCGTGCGCAAGAAATCGGAAAACGCTTTTCGAGATCGTCGACATATGGCACGCGGGGCCAGACTTTATCTCGAGGAAAAAATACCCCTGGAAGGCGCGGCAGTGTCTGCTGAAAATGTTGCGGAGGTGGAGACGAACGAGGCGGCTGCCTTGTCGGCCCGTGCAGCGATGGATTTGACCGGCTTTCAAGCGGAAACTTAAGTGTTTCATCATTCGGTTATACCTGCATCCGCTTGTTTCACGAAAATGCTATACATCAAGGAATCGTGGCAGATGGTGTACGATTTATCTTAAGCATCACGAAATTTACAAAATTAATACTAAAACTACCGGCACAGCGTTCAATATACACTGAATTTTAACCCTTTCGAGACGGAGCATTCTTAAGCCTGCATCGAGTATTATTAATTTAAAGTTAAAGAAGTAATAGTATTATAAACCCTTACTGTCTACACTTATATCTGTGTTTTGTATCAAAAATATAATGCAAAAATGAATTATTATGGCAATTATGTTTGTACATATATATATGCGTCCATCGTCTGCAAAGGGTTAAATGGAAAATAAAATGGACTGAAATTTAAACTAGTGTATACTATAATCCTTTATCTCAATAAAAGTTAATGTATATTTCAACGAAAACACTTTGATAAATTTTATGATTTAAAATAAGAAACTTGAAACCTCTCATTTTAACTCTTTTGGTAATTAAACAGGGCCTATGATTAGATATGTGGTAGAAAAAAAATAGAATTGTAGGAGTGCTCGAACGCGTTTCTAGAATTGGAGAAATTGAAAAGACCAAATCACCGACGATCTATCATCCGGAAGA